GCATTTGAACTCTGTAAAGTATATATATTTCTGATGAGCATCAATAGCCATATCCGTCTGTATATATATTCCTGATCAGCATTAACAGTCATCTTATCTTATCTTATCAATCTTATCAGCATTGGAGTACTATATATCATATAGCTGCCATAGGAACGGTCGGTCGACAAGTAGATTTTTGTACGAACAACTTTTTGGTTTATTAATATATACATTAAATTTGGCATTTACTAGTTAAACTCAGCTGCTAACATATAAACCAAATCTTATCAAGATCGAATTACTTTCTATATATATAGCCATATAGTCTATAGGTATAATCAGTCGTAAAACTAGTTTCTGTTTGAAAAGACTTTTCACTTCTTTTTCAAAAATATGACGAGCTTCACAAAATACGAGAATTCACATATGAGCAAAGTCATTAGCCTAGTCGCTTAGTCTTCCATTTTGGCTTATTTAATAACCAACACTTTTTGCACTGTGTAACGAAGGGAAGGGAGGGGGGGGGGGGGCACAGAGGTATTCCGGAGGCTCGACTTGTCTGTGTTTGCCAGGGTCTACATGCGCTGTCGAAAAAAAAGGGTTACTATTTCATTTAGTTTCTGTCCGTCTCCGTTTTCATTCCCTCTCACTCTCCCTCTCTCTCTCTGTCTAGCTCTTGGCTTGTGGCAAATGAATTTATGTAGCTTTTGGCCACATATCATTTAGGCATATGTGTGTGTGTTTGTGTGTGTGTGTGGCCTGTATATTCAATTTCATTCGTCAAAATGCACACAATGTATTCGCATTTATTTGCCGCAACGTTTTTCTCATTTCCCTTAGCAGTTTTTTTTCCGTTGAGCATTTTTTATTAAAGCCTGGAAAAATATTGACGCTGCCATTAACAAAGCTTTTAGCACAAATACAGCTAAAAAGGGCATTTAGCTGGTCAGCCAAGTGAGCCACGAATATACAGCAAGGCAGAGCGAGAGAGAGAGGGGGGGGAGAGGAGGGGAAGATAGAGGGATGGAGAGGGGGGCATTGCATGTGTAGCTGGCAGGTGGCAGTCGCCAGTCGCCGGGCAATCTGACCAAAGGCAAACGAACGTTGCCGCTGAGTCGACACTTTGACAGTTTTGTCATTTCAGGCTTCACTTTGGGCCACACCCACTCGCCCGCCCACGTGCACTTCACCCACACCTACACACACACACACACACTCGTACACTTGCTGCACATTTCCATTTGCATTGTTGCAGCACTTGCCACTGACAGCAAGCGAGCAGCTGCAGCACTTGCTTCTCGCTCTGCTGGGCTCTTGTCTCTTGACCATGCCGCATATTCGCTGTGGCATATGCAACAGCAGCAACAGCAGCAACAACTGTTGACAGGCCATTGCTGCTGCTTCTGTGGCTTTCACTGGACTTTGTGTGCTGCTGTCAATTCAAAGCTTGTCCCCCAGCTGAGCTACAAAACCAGACTAAAGAGACATCGTACTTGTCGTACATATCTGTGTTTCAGCTAACTTTTATGAACCGCACTTTGACTTTCATTCAAAATAAAAGCGCATTTTATTTATATTTACAAGGACCTTAACATACTCTTACATATATTTTATGCTCATTGAATTGAATCAGATTGTATTAATATAGAATAAATGTGGCAGCTAAATGAGGCAGCAAAAGGCATCTCTAAACTTATATATATTGTTCTTGTTCTTTATATCCAAATAGCAATATCACCAATTAGGTAAAATCTTCTCTTTTTAGTACGCACCGACACAGACTATATTATTTTTTCCCTACCTTCGCCTTGTTATGATTTTATCATATTATTTGTCAATATTATATTACATATTATATCATTTAATCACTTCAATAATTTTAAAGTATATTACAATAAAAATTCAGAGCAAAGCTCAGCGGAACGTTGCGCAAAATAAATATTTAAAGAGCATAAGGAAGATTAACGATGTTGCCAAATAATCAAAGATTAGGCAGCGCGAGCACAAGACAAACGAAAAATGATATTAATTTAATCAAAAGTTTCCAAAATGTCATTGTTAACGTAATACGCAAACAGCGAACATATATTTCTCTCTCTTTTGCTCGGAACTTGCCCTTTTTATTAAGCCAAAGTTTTGATTTCTTTGATTCCCCAATGGCCCCCGCTGCTGGTGCCCCAGAAATCAATTTGTAGCTCACATTAAATGTAGTCAAATGACCCAAAATCAGCAAAAAAAAAAAAAAATGAAAGAGGAGAAATAAATAAATAAAGAGGGAAAAAATACGCAATTCACCTGCTTACGGGCCGGGCAATCAGGCGTGGGCAGCCTGGGGGACAGTTGCTTGCCCCAAAAGCCGGGGCAATTAATGGCAGTTACAGTGGACACAGCTGCGGGTGAACTTAAGTGCGTAAAATCAGCAAAACGGAAACGGAAACTCATGCAAGTTGGGCGGAAATGTTAAAACGACAACTGCGACGCCAACTGCGACGGCAACTGCGACTGTGGCTGGTTTGTTGTCTGCGCTACAAAAAATATATATAGCGCACATAAAGACCCAAAAACACACACACACACACACACACACACACACACATAGAGACAGCTTAGACGTGGAGCATTAAATTTATGTGCACGCCAACGGGGGCGTATACGTAACGTGACTCGGCGCGCTTAAAGTGTTGCAAATTGTTGTTGTTGCTGTTGCCCACCTGCCTAGCTAGACAAATATCCACGCTCTACAACATTTTTCTACCTCGAGTGCCTTAAATCCGCACAAATTAAGCTCTAAATTAGAAAGGCATCACTCGAACGTAATTGCCTAGCGCGATTTATCTATATATATAGATATATATATATATATTTTTTTATACATCTCGCTTTTATCTCTTGCAGTTGCCGTCAGACGATACGTGCCGCGCATATGGCAACGGCGAAGCATGTAGCCTAGCTACAGGATCAAAAACCTTGGCACAACTGGAAGGAGCTTAACGCCAGGCCCATCCCCCTCCCGCAGCGCAGCGCAGGCCCCCCCTGTAAATGAGGTGCCATCAAATTGTTGGCGCGGCTTTTGTGGTGCGTATGAAAATTGCAAGCGGCGTCAAATGTGCCTCAAACTTAAAAACATTTGCATAAATTCTTTGCTGTCGAAAGTGTCGCAATTCACAGCAAATACTTAGCACATACACATACACATTCACACACACAGACATTCACACACACTCACAAATACACACACGCTTGTATGGCAGCCGGAAATGTTTTTGTGTTCGTTTGGTCAGCAGCTCTTTTGGGGGCTGAAAGTGACAACAATTATGCATAATTCATATGCCGCACCCCGACAACAACGACAACAACAACAGCAACAACAACAAGAACAACTTTCATTTATCATGCAGCACGCTACGTGTGCCCGGCAGTTAATAAAATGAACCGAGTTTCATTCATTTTTCAGCAGCTGTCAACATGAAACACAATCAAGTCCAAGAAACACTTGAATCCAAATATTCTGACAAAGATCTCTTACAATTATAGATAGAATATTTTTTGGGCATACCAAAAAGTAAAAACTCGAGTAGCTTAAAAGGATTTAATTTAAAGGATATACTTAAATAATCCACTTAAAATTCTTCTCATATTGCAGTCACACTTTCAAATATAGCAAAAAAAAACTCTCAAAAAAGACCTTGTAGAGAGTATTATAATTTTATTAAGAAATGTGTAACCCATTGAAGGTATATACATTCTCCATAAAGTATATATATATATTTTGGATCAGCATCATTAGTGAAAAGGTTGGGTCCTCAAGTAGTCCTCAATGTAGTTCAGTTTATGTTTAGGTTCGGCTATTTTAAGAAACCATAATTTGTCTCAATCTAAACACAAAAATTCAAAACGGGCAGATTGGATCTCCAGGAACTACACAAATTAAAGGACAACAGCACGCAAGACCTCTTAAAATACTATCTTAAGAGTCAGTTACAGTTTTACAACACTGGCTGCCAAATTTTTGTCTAAACACGGCATCAGACGTCAACGAAAACCCCTTTCAAATCGAATCATACCCAAAGATATTTTCTTGATTCTTGGCATTCAAAAGAAACAAGTTCTTAAACGCATTCTCAGCTCTTACATACCCAATTAGCGCTATTCATAGAAAAAAAATTCAATTTAAAATTTCAATTCATGCCTTGGCATTTCTCTGGCTTATACCCTGCACAATTTTTCGGTCAATCAACTATGACAAATTTAGTCATCTATTCATATCAAAAATGCTATTTGTTATTCAAGCTCTCGGCTGTTGTTGTTGCTGCTGCTGCGCCACTGGGAGAGACCCTTGGGCAGCAGCCACACACACACATACACACACATACACACACTCACACACACACTCACACCCACACCGAGCGGCCACGCACAAAACCACAATACAGCAACCCAGCTCTCAGTTCACAGCTCTCACCATTTTCCCTCTCGAGTGACCGCATTTTAATGCCTTTTTCATTGTCCTTACAACTGTGGGCCCGGTCATGACACGCCCATCAATGACGCCCACATTTTCGGGGCCGCTTGCTCTGCCGCTCACATGCACAATTTCGCTTTTGCATACTTTTGAGACGCTGAGGCGACGCGGCGTGTCATCAATCAATCTTGATGTAAAGCTCAGCACAGCGCAGCTCTCGGCCGGCAGCGCTTCGCATCATTTTTTACGCATTCTCCGACAAGCTGTGAAATTTCTTTAGTCGCGTTTTTAATAACTTTTATACAAATGCAAAAAAGAAAGTAAAGCAGAAAATTGTTCATTATGCAGCTTGCAATTTGATTTATGGTATTTTAATGAGCTGTTGCTGTTGTTGTTGGCGGCGTTTGCTGCTGCTGCTGATTTTACAGATGCTTTTGCTGCTGTTGCTGTTAATGTTGCTACTGTTGTTGCTGTTGCGCTTGAGGATATTGCTGCTGTTTAAACTGTTACTGCTGCCATTGGGTTTCCTTTTTAGCTCTCTAAAGTTGCTAACGATTTAGTTGCTGCTGCTAGAGCTGTTGCTGTTGCAGCAACTATTGCTGATGCCCCAGTCATTGATGCAGTTGTTGTTGAAGTAATGTATTGTATTGTATTGATACTGTTGTTGCCTTTGAAGACATTGCTGCTGCTGCTGCCTCTTTCGAAACTGTTGCTTTTGATGCTTCTTAAAGTTGCTATCGATATAGTTGCTGCTGCTGCAACTATTGTTGTTGTTTTTGCCACGGTCGTCATTCCTGCTGATTGCTGCTGTTCTTGCTGCTGATACTTTTGCTAGTATTGCTGCTACTTTTGCTACTGCTATTGTTGTGTTTTTGTAAAGTTTGCTGCTGCTGCATTCACTCGAACTGTTGCTGCCGTTGCGTTTCCTTTTTAGCTCTCTAAGGTTGCTATCGATATAGTTGCTGCTGCTGGATGTGTTGCTGTTGCTGGAGCTGTTGCTGTTCCTGGAACCATTGCTAATGCCCCAGTAACTGATGCTGTTGTTGTTGAAGTTTTGATTTAGCTGATTGTTGCCTTTGTTGCTGTTGCTGATACTGTTGCTACTATTGCTGCTACTTTTGCTGCTGCTACTGGTGTTCTTATTGATTCTTAAAGCTGCTGTCGATACAGTTGCTGTTGCTGGATGTGTTGCTGTTGCTGCAACTTTTGCTGGTGCCTAAGTAATTGTTGCTGTTGTTGTTGAAGTTGGGACTTGCTGCTCTTACTGATACTCTTGCTTCTGTTGCCACTATTGCTGTGACTGTTGCTGCTGTTGTTCCTGTTGTAGGGATTGCTACTGATGCGCTTATTCAAATTGTTGCTGTTGCTGTGCCTACTGTTTTTTCGTTTTTGTGTACCTGCTATTGATATAGTTGATGCTCCTCTAGTTATATTTGCTGGAGGTGTCGCTGTGGCAGCAACAATTGCTGATGCCTTTGTGATTGCTGTTGTTTCAATTGTGGCTATGTTATATTATTTTCTGTTGTTGCTACTGCTATTGCTGTGACTCTTGTAGACATTTCTGCTGCTTCTATTTAAGCTGTTGCTTTCGCCGTGGTGTTGCTTTTGTTGGCTTTTATAGTTGCTGCTGCTGCAACTGTTGCTGTAGCAGCAACTATTGATGTTGCCTTTGTAATGGTTTATGTTATAATTGCTGTTGTTGCAGTTGTGCCTGTTGCTGTTACTCTTGTTGATTTTGTTATTGCTGCCGTGGCTTGTATTGTTGTAGCTGTTGCTGTGGCTACTAATATTGCTGTTGCGGCTGTTATTCTACTGTTATTGCTGACATTGTTGCTGCTGTTGCTAATGTTATTGTTGCTGCTCATGTTGTTATTGTTGCTGTAGCTATTAATATTGTTCCTGGTAGTGTGCTGCTGCTCATGCTGATGTTGTTACTGTTGCCAATGTGCTGTTGCTGTTGTTCCTGTTGTTGCTGCTGTTCACCCATCTACTGCTGCTGTTGCTAGTACTTTTTTTGCTGATGCTGTTGTTTACCCATTGACAACAACAATGTTGCTGTTGCTCTTACATTTTTTGCTTTCGCCAGTGTTGCTGTTGCTGCTGCTTCTTCTGCTGCTGTTGTTGTTGTTGCCTCTGTTTTTGATAGCGTCATGCTGTTTGTTGCTCCTGTCGCTGTTGCCGCTGCTGAGTCATTGTTGGAGTCTCAAAAGCGTTTGTCAATTCGAGCGTAAGTCTTAAATAAATATTCAGCCTTTGCACAGGGCAAAGTTCATGGCCATTGCGTTTGACCAGCAACAACAGCAACAGCAACAGCAGCAACTGCTTTTGGGAGCAGGTCGTTCGAGTTTACAGCTGAAGTGCTGTAAAATTTTAATTGCTTCGCCCTTTTTAAGCCAAATGCCATTAACAAGGACATTGCTACTGGGCCACACTGTTGCACGCGGCGAATACGTGATATGATGCTCCCATATAAGAAATTGTCATTGCCAATTTGCTGGCGGCAACATTTGCTGCTGCTGCTGCCGCTGCTGCCGCCGCCATTATTTTTGCAGCATTTTTGTTGCGCTGTTTTATTGCTCGGTTATTTTAATTAAAAACTTTGCGCAGCTGACAATGCCAAGTGTGCCAAACGCCCCCCGCCCCTTCCCTCTCCGCCCTTCTCTCTCTCGCTCTCAAGTTGCCCGCGGCGCCAGCATCGCCGCCTGCCACAACAGAATGTGCGAAAACAAAGCTGTCAAGACGAGAGCTACTTGTATCTACTTACAACATGCTCATAAGCAGCCAACTGTGTGCCTCCCACACCCCCTGCACAGCCCACAGCCCGCAGCAACAGGCCTGCGCCTTTTGTCTTAGCCTTCGACTTTTGCCATTTTTACGCTCTTAAGCCCTTATTAAAGACATATGCAAAGTACGCAAAGATCTAAAGCGTATACGCGCCGTCGTTGTTGTTCTTGTTGTTGCTGTTGCCACCTTGTTGCTGTTGTCGACACTCGCGTAATTGTTGTTGTTGCTGCCGTTGTTGCTGCTGCTGTTGCCGCGACGTCTAAGCAAAAAGCGCAATGCGTGGGGCTCTAATCCTGCTTAACGTATTGTTGACAACGCGGTCGACGCAGTTATTCAACTGAACAGAAAATGAAAAGTCTATATGTACATCTATATAGATGTATGTATATGTCTGCTATATATAAGAGTACTTACTTGATATAAGTGCGTATAAAAGGCGTCGCGCACAGGTTTCTGCTGCGGGGCTACTTATAATAAGCTGCAAATCTAGCAGCTATATATATATTTATACCCTTGCCTAGGGTATTGTCAATCTGTTACAAGGTGCATAATGCGCACATTCAGACAATTTTGAGTCTAAAAAATATAAATATATTTTCCTAATCAATATCAACAGCCATGACGACAGTTGAAACAAAATATGAGATGTATTATTATCTTCCATAAATACTTTGGTTTGAAATAAAGAAAGCTTTGAGGAAGGATAGCTGCTAATTAGATAGAGAATATCCAATTTTTGAAAGATCAGGCAATGAGAATTAAAATGAATCTAGAATTAATATATTAAAATATTGTGACAAGCGAAGGCTTAAATCAGAAACTATTTTAAGGCTATGAGAAATTTGAAATTAAAATTAATTTAAATTAATATTCAGAAATATTGTGAGAAGCCAAGGTTTAAATCAGAAAACGATTTAAGATGATGAGAAATTTAAAATTAAAATTTAAATTAATTTAATATTATTATATTGAAATATTGCGACAAGCCAAGTCTGAAATCAGAAACTGAAAAAAACCAAGGTTCATAAATAGTATCTAAAGCCCGTAAGTTGCTTCGAGCCGTGAATCGAACCAATGACTACTTTTTTCTCAGTTCACAGACAGCTCTGTTCTTGATATAGAAACGAGTGTCTGCCTATCACAAAGTTGGTATTCATATAAAAAACAATCCATGCTGCATGAACCATCCGTGAACGACTGTTCCTAAATTTTCATAAAGTATTATTAAAGCCTTTTACCTCGAAAGTGTTTTCCAAGTTGTATTTAACATTTACGCAGTTGTATTACCCATATTTAAATATGTTTCGCTGCATTACCCTCATTTCAAGTGTTCAGCTATGCGATTTAAGTAGCTCCTCGTGCATTTTGTGCTCAAAGCATAGTTTTTAGTGAGCGCTGTGCCCACCTGTTTTTAATTAACATACATTTAAGCAAACAAAAGCTTGAAATGGGGCAAAAAAATGCAGCACAAAAATGTGTTTTTAATTGCGATGCGCGGCAAAATGCATTCATCAGTTGCTGTGTGTGTGCGAGCGTGTGTATGTGTGTGTGTGTGTGTGTGTTGTTGTTGTTGTGGCTGGCAAATAAGCTGGCAGGTCCTTGGCCAAAGCGCCGTGAATGCAAACAATTAACTTGGCCATCATAAAGGCCAATGCCAAAGCCAAATGAAAGAGTAAACAGAGAAAAGACTGAAAAGCGAATTTTTATTATGGCCCTTGGAAAAGTCAGTGAAATGAACTTTAAGCGCAGTCAACCGCTTGGAAACGTCTGAACGTCTGGCAACGTCAGGAGTTCGGTTACCCAAACCCGCTCCTCCCTCTCTCTCTCTCTCTCTCCCATCGAGCCGTGTGCATTCAGCCGTTTTCGAATTTTTCTTGTAATTTGCAACAATGTTCAGAGACTGCATGTTGTTGACGACAACGACAACGACAAGGTCCCTTGCCATCTTTGTTGTTTGACATGATAAAGCCAAACAAAGCGCCACCCACTAGACACCAGCCCCTAGTCGACAATCTGGCAGCCCCATCTGGGTGAACCCCTTAACGGGTGTCGCATACCAGAGACGTCCCGTCGCTTGATTGGCGTCAAGAAACGCATCAAGACGCAAGGTGACTTTCAAGTTCAAAGCAAGATGTTAACTGCCATCGTGAGAGGGGTTAACCCAATGAGGGGTAAATGGGTTTATATGTGTATAATGTCGGATATGCTTCGGCTTTGCACGGACTAAGTTTTTATCACTCATTTTTCCGCTACTTTCCGTGCGGGTGGATTTTTCGATAAATTTGAAACACGTCACAGAGATCATTGAAGAAAGTTTGAAGCTGACAATTGATACATTTGCGAACAACATTTTCCGCCATAGTTTCTTAATACATCAAGAAAGTGTTGCTCAGGGTTTCTATGGACTTTTTGGAATTTGCATTGCTCAATCAGTCATCAGTCAATCAATCAGTACTAGACGTTGTATATATGTAGTTTATAAAATATACAATATAGACTAAGATTTAAATGATGAAAACAGTCTTTTGTCTGAGCTATCTGAAGATCAATCAGTCTGTAAATCAATTGCTCAGTATATACTTTGTCTGAGCTGTCTGAAGATCAATCAGAAAATTAATCAGTCAGGACAAACAGTGTTATATGACAAAGAATAAGAACTGTCTGAAGCTCGGCAGTTAATCAGTTAGTCGGTCAATCATACAGTTAATTCGTTACTCAGTCAGGTAATCAATCACCAAGTAAAAAATATATAAATATATTAATTGATAGCTGTTTCAAGATCAATCAGCCAGTTAGTGAGTCAATCCGTGTTTCACTCAGTCAGGACAAACGGTTTTATAAACATTAATAAGTCGCTGTCTAAGGTTCAATCAGTCAATCAATATCAGTTAGTCATAAGTTAGTCAATTTTTCATCAATCAGTAATTGAGTTAGTCAATAACTATGTAGGTATAAAATTCAGAAAGTCAATCAGCTGTTCAGCCAATCAGTTAGTTTGTCAATCAGTTACTCAATCAATCAGTTAGTCAATCAATCTGTGTGTCAGTCATTAAGGCAAACAGTATTCTATGCATAAACAATTGTCTGAAGTTCAATCAGTCAGTCATCAATCAATAATTCAGTCATTCAATAAGTAAGAAATATAGTTAGAGAGTCAATCAGTTTGTCAGTCAATCAATCTGTGTGTCAGTCAGTTAGGTCTAACAGTATTGTACACATTCAATCAGTCAGTCATCAATCAGTGGTTCAGACAGGCAACACATAGCTAGAGAGTCAGTCTGTTAATGAGTCAGTCAGTCAATCAGTTGGTCAGTCATTCGGTTAGTCAATCAGCTAGTCAGTTATTGACGGTATACCGTGAAAGGGCCATAAAAAATTCTTTTATGAGCCTTGAAAATTGCCCCTTTATGAGGCATATTGTTGGCCATAAGCAAAGCTTAAGCAACTGCTAAATAGCCCATCGATGCCACAAGCCAAAAGCATGTCTGGCATTTGCAATTAATGCCTTTTGGGCCAATAGCAACCGAATCCGGCCAGTTGCCGCAAGCCATTTGAGATTGTTGCAATGTCAAAGGCAACAATTAAATGTGCCACCAACTTGGGCCGTTCGCACACGGCTCGTGTATCTGTGGTTTCGCATGCTTGACAATTAGGCCGCACAGTACATTAATTATGCATGCGTGTTCTTGTGTGTGTGTGTGCTTTTGTGTGTAAACTGTGTGTGCATGTGTGTGTTTTTGGTTTGCTCTGACGCCCAACGAAATTCTCCAATTTCCTGTGACACACACGCCACTCAATGCCAAAGCATTTTTTTGGCGAACCGCAAATATACATTCAGAAGACAGACAAACTCGCAGCACACACACACACACACACTCACACACTCGCACTGGGTCTGGTTATTTGAGCCATATGCCTTGCAAGGACCGCACGTAATTAGCCCTCCCCAAACGTTGCGTAACTTGATAGTTTTAATTGGCATTCGCTTGTGCCACCGAAATTTGATTAAAATGTGCTTCGTATTTAATTAAATGGCGCCATATAATTGGAAAACAGAATGTCAAATGTATAAAGTAAAAAAAAAAAGTGTTGAAAAATATTGGAAATACAAGCAAAACCATAGAACTATTCATATCTAATTACAGTATTTGCTCTGCGATTTATGCTCTTTGTTATTTTAAATCAGACCTATTCTTTCAATTA